ATGAAGAAAGCAGTCTTCTGGGATTTGGCACCGTGTATATGTGGTGTTAACCGACGTTTCGGAGGAACGTATCGCCTCCATCTTCAGGGTAGAAGAAAAAATATATAAGAAATCTGCAAGCAAAGAGACCGTGAGAACCGGTAAAAGCAGTCCGAAACGTCGGTTAACACCACATATACATGGTGCAAAATCCCAGAAGACTGCTTTCTTCATGTAACGCCTGTGCTTGCCACAAATGTGTCACATTACGCACGGGTGAGATTATCGCGCTTAAACACTGTCCACTCGCTTTCGTGTTTCACCATAAGAAGAAAGTGACAACAAGCTAATTGCATTTGTCTGCTAAACAATACATCCCGAACACCTGTCGCAGCTGCTACACAACATCAACTGGGCTTGACCAAATCCGGGTATCTTATAACCAACCATGTGTATGTACGAGTGCATAGCCGGGGTTCGAAGCCAGGCTGCATTGCTACAGATCCTTTGTGGTTCTGTAAAGGAGGGAAATGTTCTCGACTAGCTGAACAGCTATCAGCTTCCCAAAGTAGACTCGGTAAATGTTGGCAAGAGCGTAAAAATAAAATTATAAAATTAAAATGACCATTGTGAAATGTATCGATATGTAAAACATGTAAACAAGTATGAAAAATCATGTAACTACAAACTATTGGAGCCAGAACAGATGATTAGAAGGAAATAAAAAGAGCTCTGTTGAAAGATAACAATAATAATATCACACCGTATTACAAACACTGCCGGTCACAGTAGCATGAACTATCTTCTCTCGCTCGGACGCTGGGATCGTGGGTTCGAATCCCACATAAGGCATGGCTGTTTGATGTGTGTATGTTTTATTCTGTGTTTGTGGTGTCCTGTGTTTAGGCTGAGGCCTTGCGACGAACTCGTCGCTCGTCCAAGGAGTCCCTCGTCTGTGGAAAATGATTACGGAACTGATTAAGAGGTCAGGGCCCGGAATGGACTGCCAGAGCAATTGAAAGAAAGATTACAAACACCGCTTTCGAGATGTGAGAGCAGAAATAAGGTTAAGAAATATGAACAGGGGTTGATGACGTGGCATATCAGAGATGAATCCACAAGAATCCACTGCCATTATCACGGTTCGGATGCGTAGCCGAGAATTTTAGTGGAGGAAACTCCTGAAAAGCGATCTCTTACATGACAGGAAAGGAGCGGGAAGGGTAAAATTAATATGAAATTTGGAGAAATGGGTTGCGAGGTATTAGCACCGTAGGCGTTCGTGTCCAGTAGCGTGGTTTGCTATTAGCGGCTTTTAACTCGTGTTTCAAATTTCAAATCGTTAATTAAGTCATTGGTTACATAGCTATTAACCGGTTCCCCATCGCGCCGGCCTGGGTTCGACTCCAGGCCAGCTCATATGGGATTGTGGTGGACAAAGTGTCACTGGGACAAGTTTTCTCTGATTACTTCGGTTTCCACTGCCAATTCTGAATCCACCGAATTCTCCATATTATCTATCATCCGGGGCTGGTACAACAGTTCCACTAGTGGCCTGCGTACTAAGCGAACTCCGTCTCACCCCCACACCATGAATTGAAAAAAAATATATATCTATTTAATTTTATACTTAAGCGTTTAGTCATGTTCGGACTTCTTTAGCTATGTTGTTAGTCAGTAGCTTAGCAAGTTAACTGAATTAGGTGATTAGTCAGACACATGTGTACCGGTGGTTAGAAAATAAGTTAGTTGGTAATCAGCCCGTAAGTAAGTCAGAACCGCCATGGACGCTTGGAGCATGAAATCTCTCCAATCTCGTACTACACAAGTTTCCAACCCGTTATCAAATATGTAGGCCCCACATTCGCTCGGCCCAATTACGACACACAATACTTTCTAGACGCAAGCCGTCCCCTGGGGCCTGCTGTGATGTGTACATGGTTCTTTCGCACTTGTAAGCAGGGCAGGCTGGACACAACAGGCTCACCAACCACGAAGCTAACAACATGTACGTCACTTTTCTCGGAAAGAGGCGCGAACAACTGCAATAGTCGCTGAAGTCCTAGGAAATATAATATTAACAAAACGAAAGGGGAAAGATTTACGTCAATGAATTATGCATTTATTTAAAACGATATTGCGAGGCCTCTGTAAACGTTAAGTAATACAGGTTATTTTACGGTAAACGGTGTAAAACATTCGTACTATTCCTTGCCAGCTGTCCATGACTGCTCATTTCGTGCATTCGTGGCAGCTCTCCGTACCTCAGGGTCGTCTCTTGCACTCGCTATCTGGAGACCTCCACGAGAGGGAGATCTTAAGGAACTGCGAAGAGGTCAGACTCAGCGCCTGAAGAGTTGTCTGTTATGTTTATAGCGTTAATTTGTTGGGGGAGGGGGTGATACAGTAAAGAATAAAGCATACATTCTCCCAAAGGCCCGTATTCGAGTAGAAGTTGGTCTAGAAGTAAGCAGAATGTACTTAGATGGAACTGAGTATATGAACGTGACCCCTGATGGTTAGATTATGCTTTAACGTAAGTTGGGCAGGCGAGAATGGAAGTCGACCCTGTTTCAGAACATGTGTACATTCCCAGTATCAATTCTGATCATAACCCGTATGCTGTCTGGAATTTGCACGAAAATAAACAATTCCCGAAGAAATTGCTTTCATGAACATATCGTCTGCACAGTAGAAAAACGGAAAAGCGACGACAGTGAAAATATTAAAAATGGCGTACTAACATTTTCATTATTCAATTCAATTCAATTCAGTTCAATTCAATTCGTGTTTATTTACGCGCAAACTTAATTACAAAGCTAGCGCGAATAGAGAAATCCACAAAAAATAATAAAGAAACCTAATACAAAAATGATAGTCTATATTAATTACACAGCATGAATAAAGATACAGAAGCAAACATACCTAGACAATGCCTCAATGTGAGAATCTGAATTTCAAATAGAGCAGCATACAATAATAATAGTAATAATAATAACGAAATTAATAAAAATAATTTATACATACATACATATAATACCCAAACACGCACACAATTTGCTGCGTATGTGTGACGTGTGTTATATTACTAGGCGTGTATGTTGTGTCGTTCTCACGCCGTAGTAGTTCTTACGTGCTTACACAAGCAGCAGCTGTTTGCTTAGAACTCTGTCATCTGAAGAACATATATGTGGTCACAGCAGAGCATGGACAGGAACGCTATGCA